GGGAAAAATGATCGGAAATTCCAGTCACATGGCCATCAATCAAGAACAATGTCAAATCAAACACAACAACTAGCCAAGGATATCAACTACTGTATTAGGCGCTGCTGGCGATTGTTTTCGTTCTACAGAATTGGTGGTTTTACGAATACTTCTATGCAACAGAACGGAGATTGTGAGAACTGATCCGAAATTCCAGTCACTAGGCCATCTTTCAAGAACAACGTCGAATCGAAGACAACAATCAGCCAAGGATTTCAACTACTATATTAGGTTCTGCTAGCGATTGTTTTTCGTTCTACATTTGGGCAGGAATTGATGGTTTTACGAATACTTCTATGCAACATAACGGAGACTGTGAGAAATGATCGGAAATTCCAGTCACTAGGCAATCTTTCAAGAACAACGTCGAATCGAAGACAACAATCAGCCAAGGATTTCAACTACTATATTAGGTGCTGCTAGCGATCGTTTTTTGTTCTACATTTGGGCAAGAATTAATGGTTTTACGAATACTTCTATGCAACATAACGGAGACTGTGAGAAATGATCGGAAATTCCATTCACTAGGCCATCTTTCAAGAACAACGTCGAATCGAAGACAACAATCAGCCAAGGATCTCAACTACTATATTAGGTGCTGCTAGCGATCGTTTTTCGTTCTACATTTAGGCAAGAATTGATGGTTTTACGAATACTTCTATGTAACAGAACGGAGATTGTGAGAAATGATCGGAAATTCCATTCACTAGGCCATCTTTCAAGAACAACGTCGAATCGAAGACAACAATCAGCCAAGGATTTCAACTGCTACAAACATCGTCAGGGAGAAGGTGTGGAATTATTGTTATGTTGGCAATCTTCTATTGCTGGAGAAGATGCAATCGTCGTTGCACGCTGCTAGACATATGAAAAAGAGTGTAAATCTTATCTATTTTAATTCCTGTATTCTCCATCTTGCGATCCTAGAATTAGTGTGACAAGCATGCATTATTGTATAGTTCGCAACCAACTATACATGCATATTGGCCTCGCGGCGACGACGTAGTCACCAAAAAATCTTCCTTCAAGCATCAAGTCGTAGCAAGCAACTGATGGCATGAAGGGAGGAGTTTTACTCCCTCCAAGGAGACGAAAAGATGAAGGCAACAAACATACAATTTGAGGAGGAATCGAAGAAACAACAATAAGACAAAAGAGGATCAACGTGCAACAGACAATGTTTTTGTGTGTGTTGATGTGTTGGACGAGTTACATCAATCTTGCGAAATTACATGTTTTCCAGAGCGGGAGTGGCCAACTCTCCCACGCGCCTGGCGGCCCAATTCCCCTCTAATTCCCCAAACATTACCTAGCAATAGGACACGGGGCCGTGCTAAATGTCAGTGAAAGTATGCTGGTCCTGCGCGTGTACAAGACTGGACGTATGCCTGGCCTACGTGAGCATGAAACGAACGAGTTTCCGCAGAAGCAGCCATATCGCAACAACAAAAAACTTGCAATCATTGTTGATGGACTTGGATTTTGCTGTATCCGCGGAGGGCAAAGAGGACGATGATCCTTTTTTGACGCCCAACCTAACTGTTCTATCATCTCCAAGTGGATGCTTGTGCTTCTGTGGGAAACAGGTTTTGAACAGCTATTTCGCATGTCATCTAGCGAATAGCTGTCCTGTTGCAAAGTTGAAGGGAGTCACAAGGGACGACGTAAAATTCAAATATGATGCCGAACCCAAACTGATGAGGGCTTTTATTTGTGTTCCATGTGGGCGACTATATCTTAAAAGAGACTCGTTCTCCAAACACTTCAAAAGGAACAATTCTACAAAATGCAGGCATGAAAGGGTGAATTTTGAGCGGGAGTGCATGGCGTATCACACGCTGCACTACATAGGTCCAACGCCAGGTGCAAGCCAGTTGGAGTCCGGAATAAGTGGGGGCGGTATTTATGTGGATAGAGTTGTACAGGAGAGTGCAGTAGATGGGTTGGTTCAAGATCAATTGCCAGACGACGCTATTTTATTGTGTCTTGGCACTAATCATGCTGCTCTAAAGAATGAACTGGTTGACAAGATGAAGTCGCCCAGCTGTCTGGTCGAGATTTTGCTACCACTCCTTGTTTCAACAATTGGATCAAAATCACCAGCAACCTTTGTTCAGGCTGGAATAGAGCGTGTGCGCGAGGGTCCGGATTCCCCAATGGCGTTTATTTCAGGGGCAGACGAATGGATGCGCCAGTATTCAGCAAGGATGGTTGCCATGTTGCCCGGGAGTGTTCGCCATGAGATGCTTTCATTTCGTGTCGATACTGAGTATGAAAGCATTTTCACGGTGAGAAACAAGATCGAACCCGTCTGCTCCGAGTTGAAAAAGATTATTCATTTCACATGGAAGGCTTTTGGTTTGATCCATGGATTTGTTGATGAACGGGCACCACTACAAGTCCCAAAGTATCTGTACATGTTGAGTTTGCAGAATGGAGAAAATCTCATTGACGGTTCCCCCGAACTACTACAATACACGTCATTTCGTTTCTTTGAATCATCAGAATCTTTGAAGGGTGCATATGCCATTGGCAGCACTTTGGCAACAATTCTTTACATCTGCCGTCTGGGCAGTCTTGGGGAGGCTTTCAGGTGTAATGGGAATAATTATATTGGTCGACAGCTGGCTCTCTGCAAGGAGGTACAACAAGGACGGGTCATCCAGACTCTGTCGCCGCTCATAAGGCAGGTTCGAGAATACGAGAAACAGAGGAAGAATGGCAGATCAGGGGACTATGTGTCACAGAATGGAGACGTGGTGGTATCTGGTAGCAGGTACCCAAAGGCTTTATGGTCACAGCTTATTCCAAAGATCAGGGATAGGTTTCAGACTCTCTTCTGCAAGATTCTTGGAGCAAACGGGAACACACTTGTGTCAGCTCTATTGGATCCATCCTTCAGTCTGAAAACAAGTTTTGGGAGCCAATGGTACCACCATAGGGTCTTTTACGAAAAAGAAAGGGGTAGGGATAGGTAAAATTCAAACACTTCATCAGGGACCAGAAAATTCCAGGATTGGACACTTGGCCACTCAATTTCTGCAAATTTATATTGAAATAAATGACAATTCTGTTCTACAATATTTTCCATGTTTCCATCCTTTGTTTTCTTAGGGCAATATTCCGCACTCCTTTTTTGAAATAAGTATTGTCAATAATTGTGTGTAAAATTGACATTTTTACTGGCACCCGTAAATCGAATTAATACCCAACATTTTATTCTGGGCATTTCCATGTTTATATTTGCTACTTTTTTTCTGCAATATGTTTCATGTTTTCATTCATTGTTTTTTCAGAACTATACTTTACACTCCCCCCCTGCAATAATGTTTTGCAATAAATGACATTATAATATAAAGTAAAGGCTCCTGCTGTCAACTAAAACTAATTTCGTACATTTTATTTGAGGCATTATGACACTGAATGACTGCCACCTATTTCGACAACACACTTCAGGCATTTCTTTTCCAAATTTATTTTTATTGCTTTTCTATCTTTATTCTCCACTTCTCTCACACTCAATATGACCTCCAACCCCTACCAATGTAAGGACTGTGGTGATGAATTCCGCAGAGTGAATGCTCTTATCCAGCATCAAAACAATTCCAGTTGGTGTCCAGGTGCAATTGATAGACATAATGGCAGGAGGCAGCAGAGGCAGCAGCTCAATCAGAACCCCATCAACCCCTCGGAATATGTTTGCCAACAAGTTTACAATCCCCCAGTACTGCCCTCAGAAATCGAGTTCCAATCTGATGAGCCAAAATCTTCACTGCAGGAAGCTCCCCATACTAGGGAGAAGAGAAAGTGGTCCTCCTCCCTGGCTGCAGCAGCTTGCAGGAGTTCCAAACGAAGGCGCAGTGTTCGTTCCCCTGTTCCTGTTCCAGAACCCCCCCCACCAATAGCAGCTAGAGATGTGGATGATGTCAACTTTGATCCAGAACTTACTGACTTTGCTGGAGAAATGGAGAGGCTCAAGCTTGGACAACCATTCCCACCAAACCTTCTCATTGAATGCAACTCAACTTGCCCACCTTTGGAAAACAGCAGCCTTGCAGTGCATGCACCCTTGCCCCTGCCGAATGCATCCAATAGGAAAGACTATCCTAGGACCACCACTACCACCATTATGGGTTGCAAATTAAACTCGGAAATCGGTAAGGTGTACAACTTTCCAATGGAAGAACAGCAAAGGCAATTTTCAAACCAATTCCTTCCTGCAGACAAAGTCTTAGCCAAAATCCATTTCGAATGCTACCAAGCTGGATCTCCCCTCTACCTTCCAGACAGGATTATTGGGATTCTTCAAGAAGCAAATTGGACATATGCTGGGTTCCATCTTGGAAGTCCTTACATTACAAAGAGGGAATCACTTCTCAAACGCATAGAGAAAACTGTTGGAGCATCCCCCCCCACTGTTCTTGATGTGAATCTTGAATCTGGTCTGAGGACAAGGATCCATAGATTTGATTTTCAGGCACGGCTTCAGGATCATCTTATGAGCAATGTTTTTGCTGATTATGGTAACCTCAGCATCAGGACACCTCAAGACAAGGATGTGTCCCCATTTATCAATACCATGGATGGGGCCCTGGAGGAACCACCCACCATCCCTGACTTTGTCTCTGGCGAATGGTACAAGAAGGCCCTGGAAATGTACAAGCTTGACTTGGATAGTGGTGATTATCTTCTTCATCCACTTGTGGCATACATGGACAAGACTGGCATTGACAGGATAGAGAAGAATGGACTTGAACCATTTGCAGTTACCTCTGCTAATCTCAGCCAGGGCTCCAGAGAAATCGCAGAGAACTGGATCTTGCTTGGATATGTCCCAAGTCTAAAATGGCTCAAGCACCAACACTCTCCAACCACCACCACAAACAAGCGTAGCCTGGCATTGAGAGACTACCACCACTGTCTTTCTCTTCTTCTAGAACCTCTGAAGACTCTCCAAACCCATAGACCCCAAATGTTATTCAGACGTGGTGCCTTTTGTGGTTCCTTCCGCATCATACCCCCACTAGCATCAATGATTGGTGACAATCTGAGCAATGATATGCTAGCCCAAAGGGTTGCAGATCAATCTGAAACATCCCCTAGAATGTCTCGCAGATGTCTCTGCCCTGCTGTAGAAGCGGATAAGCCACTACACAAATGCATTCCTCTCATTGCACAATTTGTGGACAAACTCTCTCAGGGGTCTCTTGGCCCATCCTATGGTCGTCAATACTATTCCTTTGTTGCCCAGGCATCTCAATTTCAAAATGTTATCCCAGAGTCCCCTAATTTTGAAGGCTGGCGAAAATATGTTGATAGCCATGCAGCAAAGAAGGATAGAACCCTTCTTGTCTGGACCAAACAATGCTACTATTTGAGGGGCGGTATCTGAGCTCCTACAGGACGATTTTCCCCCCAGAATATTGAGTTGCAAATTCGTCCATCGCAATGGATGGCACGGCCTGGGCCCCATGAAAGGAAAGTGTTGAATTAGAGGGTGTGTCAAGCATTTTTGATACTTTTACTACGTCCGCAGCGGCGGCTATGATGTTGAGTAATATTTCTTGGGCGAAATTCACACAACAATCCACCTTGATTGGTTTTGTTGGTTGTTTGGACTGGCAAAAGAATTGTCAACAAGATCTTTCTACTCAATCCGACTCATAGCTACCGTATCCAACGAGACAAGAGCTAAACGGAAATTCATTCGCGTTACCTCTTCTACCAAAATTGACGATTTGGTGCTCATCAAGGTGCAATGATGAAATTGTTTCCTTCCTTTTCGACAAGCCGGTGTGGGCGCCCAGAGAAGTAAACGCTGAAGAAAATGTTATTGCAAGCATATGTGATAGATGGAATATGACTGGAGTAGCGATTCACCCTTTTTTTCGCCTCAGTTACACTACATTCTACCATATTTCGTCCAACATGTTTTGTTGGGTTGCACAACCTGGTCTGCAGAAGGTCAAAAGGGCCAAGGCCTCATATGCAACATGTGCTGGAAAGCTTCGCAGTGATCATACCTACTCAGAGATCCATTCGGTGGCTTTTTCTTTCGAATATTTGCTGAGATTTTTGAATTCAAGTGTTTGGTGCTGTCGGTTCACCTTTCATCAGGAGGGTCGGTGTGGCCGCCCGGGAGACAACCATACATTCAACAATACACCAGAGGGCCCCTTGGATACCTATTGTTTAGATTTTCCGGGACCGAGGCAATGATTTGGCCTAGATCAAGAATTATCTAGCCAGCATGGGGTCAGAAATCATTGATTTTCGGTCCTAAAAGTGACTTGGTATTGGTGTGGACGAAATTTCACCAAACTTCTTCATTCTAACGCATATTTGCCGTCCATTGGTAACTATGATAAGATTGGGGGGGGGTTGAATGGGTGATTTCTAGGTGCAAGCGATGGAATGGCACTCACACTGCTTTGGGGATCAATCCAGGTTCATCCAAGATTGTGTGTGGAATCCTTCTCAGTCGCCGAGTGGTTACCAGCACACCATGTCACTAAGTTCAAACTTGTCCAACCCCCCCCTAGTATTGACTTGGGGTGGTGTTTTGGAGTGCTGTACTGGTAAAGAGATTCTAGGCAAGCTTAATTTTTTCTCTTTTGCCTACTGTAAAAAAGTGACTTTGTGGAATTGCCTTCCCTGTGATTGAATCTAGCCACATTCGCAATTTGAAGTATACAAAGGTCTAGTTTAGATATCTAATTATAATACTGCAGGGAAATTTATCTGAAAATGTACTCACAACAAGGTCGTATGGTAGGAGATTGGCTAACCAAGAGTTTCTGCCATTTCTTATTCCCATCGGCACAGTGCTGAAATCGAAGCAGCATCTCCCAGCTTCCTGGCTGCCTCAGCCCACAGTTTTTTGGTCAAAGTCTTTGGGTTAGGACCGGCTTGTTCTTCCAAAGTTTTCAAATCCTTCTTCAATTTTGTTAGAAGCCTATTGGAAGACTCCAATTTATAGTAGGCAAGCACTGCCGTTGCCACTTCTTCAAACAATTGTGCTGTAGACTCGATGTCCTTCCCAACATTTTCCCATACAACTGTGTCAAATAGTGTACCAGATACCTCACTTGACTCCTCGTTGTGGTGATCCCCTCTGCTTGCCTTGAGAAAGGCTTGAAACACAAGCATACATGCAATTCTGACAGCTGAGCTGTGGTGTAGCTTAGGCAAACCATTTAGGAATACCTTAGATATTACCTCCTCCATGAGATCCAAGACAGTTTCAATGTTGGTGCCACCATTCTCCATGTTTTGTAGATGCAGTTGGGCCACCTGCGGTAGACGTAACAGAGTTGGGTCAACCTCAAATGGAAGCTTCAGCCCAGGAGCTCCATCAGCATTTGCAGGCAGTCTCAAAACATTTGAAGGGATCGTCCAGAAGTGAGTCTGAAAGTAGGTCGATGACATTGTTTCGAGGCTTGTTTTCAACAAAGTTCCCTTCCCTCCTCCACCCAGACCAAACAGCAGAGCCAGAGATTCCAGCATTGCTACACATGCAGTCCATTGCGCTGGTGTTACGGATGCTAGCACAGCAGGATAATGCTCCAGTGCAGTGCAGAGTTCCTTAAGGACAGACTCATGCATTGTGATGATCTGTCTCATCTTTTCTTTGAGCTCATCTTTCTTCACAAAGGCTAAGCAATTTAGAGGGGTGACAGCGTCTGTGATGGGGGGCTCTATGTTGTTCCCAGTGGTATCAGGACTGGCCACAAATGTCATTTCGTAACGAACATGGAAGTTCTGGTCTTCCAATGCTTCACAAAATGTGTTGCCAATTTGAAATAGGGATTTGAGTGCCCCAATGAACTCCGAGTGATCTGTTACCAACATTGGGTTTAGATCTCGTTCAAACGCGGAAGCCATCCTCAAAGCCATGAGTGGAAGCTTGCGTGCCTGGATCGAGAGTGGATGGCTCCGAGGCGGGAAAAGAAAGATCAAGTTTGGTAGATATAGCTGAACAATTGGTGCAGCTCGTCGATTCTTGTCCTTGTAAACAACTTTATAATAATCACCAAAGATTGGGTGGGTTTCAACAAAGATTGCCTCCAAGACCATTGGCCCGTACTTGCTTTGTCCATTGCCATATACTCCTACTGTCATAAGTTGAGGGTAGCGTATCCGTATTTGGTTTGATGCACTGGTTGTATGTTCAATGTTATGCTTGAGGTAGGACACTAATTGTTCCACTGGCACGCCCCACTCGCGATGGGAAGCATTAGGCAGGTCATCCGATTCATCACCATCTGGAAATTCATTGACTTCTTCTTCTGTCTCTGTCTCTGACTCTGATTCACCACCATCTGGTAATTCATTGGCTTCCTCTTCTTCCCCTGTATCTGACTGTGAGTCTGGCTCTGAATCTGAATTGGAACGTTGGGCGTCCTCTTTGTCTGAGTCTGTCTCTGAATCAGAACTGCTGTCTGATTCTGTCTCTGAATCAGAACTGCTGTCTGAGTCTGTCTCTGAATCAGAACTGCTGGCGCCATCATATAGAGTCCTGTTGCCATGTCTAATTGCTGTGGCTTGCTTCACTGTTGTCTCTGCGTTCTTTCCCAGGGGAACAACATGATAATCCCTACCACTCTCAAAAGTAATTGCAATATCGATTGCAATTCGTGTGGTCTCAAATTGTATTCCAACTTCATCATTGACAAACACTTTTCTGGCTTCTTCATAGGTTTTCCGTACCTGTCCTCTCATCCATTTGTTGTACCGCGATGGATCTTCCTGTGGGCAGAATCTACATTCATTGAAAGTGGTACCTGGGTTGGGTTGCAGACACTCCCTCCAAGTGGCCTTAAATCCAGCATTCTGCAAAAGGTATATAGAATTCCAACAGAGCAAAAAAGCTGATTTGTTGTCAGCACCCTTCAGGTCAGAAGTTCTTGTTTCAGACAGACTTTGAAGTTTGTACCTAATCAGATTGATATGTAGCAATGGGACAAATTGGCCACGGAACACAATCTTCTTGCTTTCCCCTCCAACAGTCCCTAACGCACGCATGCCCTGAATGGCACGGAGATATGTCTCAACAGTCTCCTTAAAGGAGCCTCGACTCTGTCTGGTACTGTAAAACTTCCAGTTCTCCTGCAGTTCCATAATTTTTTCAAATGTACTCTTCCGAAGCGCCCAGTCATTCACAGCATTCCAAGTGTCAACAATTGCTTGGTCACAGCGTCTGTCCACCATTCCTTGATGCAGCACATGAATTGACAAATATACTTTCAAGTCTCCAAAGTTCAAATGTCCAACAGTGAAAGAAGGGAACCTATCCAAGGTAGTTGGTTTTTTCATGGGATCTTGATTCTTCTTGGTCGGGTGGAAGTCCCGTGATCTTGCCACTGAGGCCCGGACCTTATAGGGACGCTTTCCTGTTTTTGCATGTTTAAACTCAAGACCAGTTACATTGAAACAATTTACTTCTGAAAGATCTTCAGTGAGAATGCCAACAGAATCAGCGTCAACTCCAACTTTCAATGCCTCTGGGGCCGGACCTTCACATTCAAGGTATTGATCCAAATCCAAATGCTTAAAGAGACGAGTTAACAACTCATGATGTCTCTTGATCTCCTGTAAATCTTCATCTTCATCATTATCGATGAAGTCATCTGGTGCATCAAGGTGATCAGCACTAACATTTGATATTGAACTAGCGTCGGATGGCTCTGGATCTTGCTCTTCCTCCTGCCCTTGCTGATGCTGCAGAGCAGCTTGAACCACACTGTCGTCTGATGGCACAGCTTCGTCAGCCCTGTGACCACCAGTATTATCAAGATGATCTCTAGCATGATGATTGTTAGTGTAAACTGAAGTAGTTGTAGCATCATCTGACTCCTGCTCAAGAGCTGCTTGAAGCACACTATCCTCCTCCGATTGCGCATCTTCGTCGGCCCTGTGACCATCAGTATTATCAGTAGCATCATCTGGCTCCTGCTGAAGAGCTGCTTGAAGCAAACTATCATCCTCCGATTGCACATCTTTGTCAGCACCATTATTAAAATCGTCATTGTGGGCGTTAAGGTTTGATAGCTGTGAGTGTTGATATGATGAATCCTGTTCCTGCTGCAGAGCTGCTTGAAGCACACTATCGTCATCGGATTGCTCATCTTTGTCATCCCTGTGACCACTAGCATTATCAAAACGGTTGCTGCCACAGTGCGTATCAGTGTTAACTGCAGTAGTAGTTGCATCATCATCATTGGCGCTAGGGCTTGATAGCTGTGAGTTTGGATTTGATGATTCCTGCGCATGGCACTCCGGAGCTGGTAGTACCACATCCTTGACATTGTTGTCATCAATGTCAATGCAAATGACCTCTTTCCTTCTATTGAAATTTGCAACAAGCCTTTTGAGCTCATCTAGATCAACATCCTCCCTGTCGCCATCTGTGTATATCAGACTGTACTGTTTCTTTCTGCCGTTCTCTTCTACCCAACTGCATCTTACATATCCTTCATGCCATTCCCTTCCCTCAAACATCTTTGCTACCTGTGTGCCCTTGAAAGGCTCCTTGTTCCAGAATACGTTTTTATTAAGTTTTTGATACCTTGCCAACGCTGGATCTTCATCCATCTTCTTGACTTTCTTTCTTGCTGGTTGTTCCTCAAGGTCACTTTGTTTGTCAAATGAACCCAGTAACATTCTAGGTGCAATAGGATCTGGTCCTGCTGTCCCCTTCCCACAACCGTGAACTATCCCTTGAATGGCTTTTAACACTGATTTTTTTTTTGCTGATGCTTCTCCTGGTACTTTTTGGAGAGTGTTGACATTGACGATATCAGCCCTTTCGTAAGCATCCCAGGAAACTTTGATTGTAGAGTCACCATCAGGAGTTACTGTCACCTCCTCTACTGCCTTTCCCTGTTGACCGTGTTTATCCATGACCGTGTCACCTATTCCGATGGAGGAATGCAATAATCTTGGAGGCGTCGTAGGACCTGCTGCCCCTTTCCTATAACCATCATGGAACCCTGGATTGGCTTTGGACTTTGACCTTGGTGTTGACCTTGGTACTGACCTTCTTCTGGATGGTGATTCTTCTGGTACTTTTTTGAGACTATCAACATGGACAACAGTTGTTAAGTTATCATCCCAGACAACTTTGACTGTTTCTGTTTTGCCATCTGTTTCCGTTAACACTGTTCTCACAATACCCAGAGCATAACTTTTGGAAAAGACCGTATCGCCTACTCTAATAGGAGAATGAGGAGACATGCTGGTGTTGGCAGCGATTCTGTGGGTAGCTGGTGGTCATTTGAGCAACCTCCAAAGTGGTTCCGAGGGTGGAAAATGTTACATTTTGGGTTTGCTACACAGACCTCTCGGTACTTATATTGCGTACGTGGATTTTGTACCGCCATCTGAAAATCTCTAAAACAATCTGCAAGCTTCAGCAGACCGCCCTTGTTGTTGTCAACACACAAGCATCAAATATCTCCCCTACGCCTGCCCAAATAGTCATGCATAATCCTTGGCTTAAAAGCATAGTATAGTATACAAGCAATGGATCCAAGTAGTGAAAACCAAAATAGTGAAAATCTATTGAAAACAAGGCTGGTGGTTTCAATTGTTTGAAGCACAACTTTGGTAAGCTTCCAGGCACTTGTATTCTATTCTTCACCCACTCCCAAGAAAATGGACATGTTACTTACATTTGTATACTTGAATCTATATCTGTCTTGTGCTTATCTATTTTGTCTCTGAAGCAACCCCGCCCAGAATGCTTGCGAACGCGTCCAGCAAAGAAGAATTACACAGCATGGGCATCAAAAGCAAGGAGCCAAGATAAATCAATGGCTATATGGCTATCTTCTCTCATATGCATTGGTCTCTGACATGTTACAATCAAGCAATTGCTGTTAATCCGCTGATATCAGATGCCTTCTATAAAGCAATACTATAAAGCAATACTATAAAGCGATACTATACTGTAGCGGTACGGACAAGCCTAAAATTCCGATGAGATATCATAATGTATTTTGACGTTGTGGCAACAATTCTACTGTACCTTGTATACCTCATAAAAATGAAATAGTACTATACAACATGAACTTGGAGCCTATACTATTAGTTGCCACAGCGGTTGTCTGCAGATCATGGTCCTTTCTTCTTTCTGTTCAAGCCTCTTTCATTGGGTGCTGGTGTTACATGTGTTCCAGGTGTTCCAGGTAGTGTGCCAGGAGTGCGTTTGTGACGTGTGTTAAGTGTGTGTTTGCGAGGTGTGCGAGGCGAGCTATTCTTGCTGCTAGATGGCGTTCGATTCTCCTTTTCTTCGTCTTTGTCAGCACGACCACTGGCCAAAATGTCTTGCCATGAAATATTGTGTTTCTTACAGCCTTTGATGAAATCATCGATGATTTGATTCTTCTTTCCAATTTTGACAGTCACTGCCTTTTTTTCCCCCACCACTCTCCTGCCTTCGACCCGCAGCCTTTTGTTTTCTGCTTCCAGCTTTTCGTTTTCTTCCACCAGCTGTCTCTTTTCATCTTCCAGCCGCCTCTTTTCATCTTCCATGTCATTCCTTTCCGTTTCATGTTTTTGGGCTCGTCTTTGAAGTTCGGTTTGCATGTTTTCTGGACTTGTCATCCCATGAGGGCTCGTGTCTTCCTCGTTGTCACTTTCATCATCATCCTTGGTCTTGTCATCTTGAGATTCAGAAGAATGCTTAGTGGTTCTCTTTGTTTTGTTTTTATCGTTAGAAGCAGAATCATCGTTAGAATCATCCTCAGACTCATCCTCAGACTCATCCTCAGACTCCTCACTACCATCTTCTTTCTTGTTCTTTTTGGCTTCATAATCAATAAACGGGTTTTTAGCAGGATCATACTCATTCTTCTTCTTCTTGATGGACTTTGTTTCCTTTGCTGTTGGACGTTGAGCCTTTCGCTTCTTCTTTGCCTGTTCCGCCTGTCGCCTGAGCTGTTCACTAACCAAGTAACATTCAAGTTGTGTCAAGGTCTCAACAGAAGCAGACGCCCCTGTAAGTATCTCATTGACAAAGCAACCAAGCTCTTTGTCAATATCATTGGAGGCAAGAAGGTTTTCAGTTTCAAGTCCCTTGGCAAAAATAACATTTGATTGGGTGGTATCAAATGCAGAACCAAATGTCAGACATGGATACCGCCCAGTTGCGGCAACCTTGAAGATAAGCATCATGATGTGGAGCTTTGATCCTGTACCATTCTTCCTGAGAAGCGACCGCCACAGCAAGGTATATTTCCCTTTCCATGAGTTTGGAGCAGTCCAAGCTGGTTCGTCCTCTCCAATGACTAGTAGCAATAGAGGTGAGATTCTCCGAGCCATAAGGTCGACACACATCTTCCTTTTTGTCTTCATCTTCCCATTATGTTTCTCGTAGTGGCTGCAAATAGACTCAGCCATGCTGAGCTTGGCAACAAAAAATGCATTCCAAAATGGAATATAAGTGTCAGTCCATTTCGGATGACCATTGGGCAAAAATATATTCTTGATGACAAAACAAAGCAAGAGCAAAGAATAAGATACATTGTGCAGCATAGGCATCGTGGTTGGAGCATTGATATTTCCTACCTGATGGTCTCTGCAGAGTATAGAAAAGAAAGTAGTACCGCTCTCTAGATCCAAAAACTGTACCATAATATGAATGAACCAAGACAATACTTTGGGTGCCTTTTTTGTGTTCGTGAAAGGTGCAAACTTGATGTCCGCCATTTTGCGAAGCAAGTCCTTCCAAACTTCAGAAGGAGTTTTGCCCTGTCTTCTTGGGTCGCTCAAGTAATCTTCCACAATTCTCTTGGCATCAGAATTGTATTTCGTTGCTCCAAGGAGAGCTTGTAGGGCTTTTTTGAAAATTCCCATCATCAGCCCAGAGTAGTCTTCGGGTGGCGTGTCTTCATAGACACTATCAAAAAAAGATGCCTTGGTTTCAATGGATGTCAATACAAAGTCCATTACCAGATCTTTGACCGATCCCGTCTCAGAAGACATGGCATAATGCTCTCGTTGTTCGTGACTGAATTGCTTGAGTTTTGCTTGATCCAGGCTTCTTTCTTTCAGCACATTAAGATGAGCAGAAATTTGATAATCAAGTGGGAAGGGGCTTTCTGCAGACAACAGCTTCTGCTTGAATGCAATGATGGGTGCCTCACCAGCCAAAAATGCAATGCTGATATTGATCTTGGAAGAAAACAATGACGAAGTGACAGCTGTCAGATTTTGGATTGATGCAAATGGAGGAGGCTCGTCTGAATCCACCAACAGCCTCTTCAGCAACTTTGCCCAACCTTGGGGGACAGTAAGGTCATACGTATGGCACATGCACACAAATAGTCCCTCAAACGCATTCCGCTTCCGCTCCACTTGTTGTAACAGTTCGTCCAGTGACGTTGACTCGTCCTCCTCTTCGTCCTCGTCCAACTGATAATAGCTGGTCAAAATATCCGACACAACCTTGTTGCAGCCTGGAAACAATATGTCATAAGCTGCATTGAAATCCTCTTGCTTGACTCTCTCAGCCCCAAGATGGTTGGCTCCAAGCTTCAGACCAAAACTGGTGGTGCCCCTAGTTGCTGGGAAGATCATTGGAACCACAGGGAGATTTGGCATTCCCGTTGCGTTGGGGCTAGCCCTGTACTCCAAAGCGCATATTGGAGCTTCAACAATAGCCCCAGTGCTAAAGAATTGTACATCAATGGGTGTATGGAACCGCTTGGCGTTGATATCTGGCTGACAACAAGTAGGGAAGGTTTCTTGTTGTTTATCCACCACAAAGTAGTTGCATTGCATAAAAATTCCCAAAATAATGATTTCGTTGAGTCCCAAATTGGATATGCTATGGATCGGTTTGGCCACATTAAACGGGAGGTTGACACTACTGTCCCAAACAGTGCGAAATTCTTCCACATCATCAGGGGTGATGACAGTGAAGCCATCACTGAAGAACCTTTCGAGAGCTGCATCTATCATTCTGCTATGGGTACCGCCACACAAAATGTTGACTCGTTGTTTTATTGTTGTTTTATTGTTGTTTTATTGTTGTTTTATTGTTGTGTACGTTGGCCTCGAACATTCCGTTCCCTTTGGCGGGAAAGTCATTCCTTTTGAAATTTGAATCATGCCGTATACGTCACATACCGTACCGATAGGTCATTTCCATTTGAAAATCCGTCGCTGAATTCCAAAATTTTGAGTAATCCAGTTGGTCAAACCAAGATAAAAACCAAAATAAAAAAGACAACGGAAAACAAGAAAAGGGTCGGAAAAAAAGGAATAATATCTTGTTTTTCGATTTTTGAATTTTTGATATTCATGCAAGTTTGTACAACAGTACATGCCACGTGACGATACGTAGAAAGGTGATCAAGTCGAGAATCGTAAGATATTATTGGGAACTTCAACAATCGAGAGTCTCACCAATTGAGTTCCGGCAAACTAACACAGTGGTTAGTGTGTGACATTGAGCAGGTCTGAACCCAGTTAGCTGGCTCCTGCATGCTGTCATGGCAGCCGAAGAAGATACAAGTGTGTCCAGTGGACACCGTTCAAATGTACAAGTTGGAAGGGAAGTGGCACAGATGCATTCCCAAGCTCATAGAAGTGATCCTCTCCTACGAAATTATGCAGATTCGGGCGATGTGATTTATCTTGATTCTAGTGATGGCGATCCGCCAAGCGATTACGCCGATCATGATCCAAAGTGGAAAGACGTTGGGAACGATGGTCCAAGTCTTGACACTGGTTCTACGTTCCATCTTCGCAAGGATTTTGAGAATGCGGAGGAAGAGACTGTGCGAGACCTCACGCTCATGTTCAATTACGGGACGAACCTTGGAAGTGGAAGAACACTGACACAAGAAGTTCAAGCAAAGCACATGGAAGACCAAATGTGTAAGTTTGACCCGGAGGCCATTTGTGATGTTGACAGTGCGTCGCTGTTGGTCAAGCAAGGGTACCGTATCGTGATGGATACCGACAAAGATAATGCGTTTATTGTGAGTAAGGACGGGAGACAGTGGGTCTATCGTGAGAAAAATGGGTTGTATACCTATGTCCCTGGAAAATCGGAACCGATGGCTCAGATTCCAGAGGAGAATCAGACTCTTACTTTTGGCCCAAAGCCAGAGACGCATTGCGGTGTCTGCATGGAACTTGGGCCGCGAGGTGAAGCATGTCTTGAATGTGCACGATGGGGATCATTTGTGAAAGATGAATCCTACCATCAATAAAATACTACTAAATCCAAATCTTGCCCTTATTCTGGTTTACAATCTGTACAGAAAAACATAGAACGTTTCACTCCAAGACAGGTTGTCCAGTTTTCAATGGTAGAAATAGCCTTGAGATATTTTACTGCAAGGTCTTTGAATTTGAAGGTCACCTCAACAAGAGGCGAGACTCCGCCTACCCATAGTCGTCTTACATGAGTGAACATGATATTGCCAAGCTGAATACTTTTGTGTGAGCTACATCGTGGACGCCAAAGAGAAATATGCCACTCGCCAATCCATTAAATAGGCCATTACTTGCTGACCATACCTACAAACCTCATTCTGAACATTACCTACCGGTCCTTGATGTTTGATCTTTGGTGGGAATGTCCTAGTTGTCGGCACTGGTTCATTGTCGAATGGTGTTGTGGATCGTCATTTTTGAAACTCCATTCCAAATCGTCTGGAACTGCCCTAGCTTGTTCAGCTTGTCGATTCTAGCATTAGCTCCTCTTTCAGCTTACTTCCATATACCTACCGGTCCTTTATCTTTGGTCGGAATGTCCTAGTTGTCGGCACTGGTTGATTGTCGAATGGTGTTGTGGATCGTCATTTTTGAAACTCCATTCCAAATCGTCTGGAACTGCCCTAGCTTGTTCAGCTTGTCGATTCTAGCATTAGCTCCTCTGTCAGCTTACTTGCATATACCTACCGGTCCTTAATGTCTGGTCTTTGGTCGGAATGTCCTAGTTGTCGGCGCTGGTTCATTGTCGAATGGTGTTGTGGATCGTCATTTTCAAAACTCCACTCCAAAATCGCCTGGAACTGCCCTAGATACACTGCTGACGAGAAGTTCGGGAACGAGGGAGCATTTGAGGGAACGAGGGCCGTTTCGTCCCTCCTTCAACCGTTTTTTCCCTTGTTTTCTCCCTCGTTCCCTTTCGCAACACGAAACCACCAAAAT